ATGGCATGGGTTTAGCTATCTCGATTAACTACCCTAGTGATAGTTGCATCAGTCGCGACGGAGACAAACTCATGCTCTCGCGAACATGGGGCTTGCGGATTGAATACTCGTGAAGTCGACTGTTAGGAAGGCCAAAAGTAACATTATATTTCAAGAGAGGACCCGACAAACGCATAGTCGCCCACTGATTATCATCCCTCACCCTGACCAGTTGTCTCTGATCCATGCTTCCTAACCTGTTTACTATTATCATCGCCACATGCCGTTAACTTATTTCAGTCTAACTTGTAAACATCGTCGTAACTTATTTGATTCTTACACTTCAGTCTATCTACAATGCTTGTTTTAATAATTAGATGGCATATTTATTTACCTGGTGAGACAACTGTATCGCTTGGTATACGAATTTTCTTTATATTTTTTACGGTGCCGTAGAATGTGACAGCTGATGACATCAACATCCCACAAAGAACCCATCAAAGTGATTAAAATTAGTGCTGCTGAGTGGCTACATTACGAAAATCAACAAACTGCAGCACGAGGCAGGCCCCAACTTGGAATCCTGAAAGGAAGAGGAAAAGAGGAAGGCCAAAGAACATATTACGTCGGGAAATATAAGCAGACGTGAAAAAGTGAATAACAACTGGGAAGAGCTGGAAAGGATTGCCCAGGACAGGGTTGGATGGAGAATGCTGGTGAGCGGCCTATGCTCCTTCATGAGGAGTAACAGAAGTAAGTAAGTAAGTAAGAAACTGGGTCTATAACGTCCTTTTTAGTTGTTTCAAAAACACTTCGAAAAGAGATTCCGGTGTAGGTGCCTTAAAGTTCTGCTGGATTCAAATGTTTTCGCTTGATAAAGACTTTTTATACATGATTGCACTCATTCCAGATCTTACAACCAGTCTTTGATTGTTTGATTGATAGCTTGTGTAATTGTTTACTCCTAGTGACACAGGACAAAAACAGGGGGAGAGTTAAAGCAGACATTGCAAATGTATCGCTGTCATGTACTCCAATTCAAAAACGCATTTATTTCTTCTCAAAACATATATCAAATAGTAGATAGGAAATGAAAGATAAGTATTTGACGTGATTTGCTGATTTAGTCGTGAGTAACCACCAGTTTTGTGTCAATTGTTTTTGACCCTTCTAAAGAATGTAGTGACTCACTTTTATCACGAGAACACGGCTGGTTTAATGAAAACAATTATTATTATAACCAACTGTACCAGTGCTTGTTTTAATGTGCTTTTGTTTAACTGTGCCAATTACAGCCATTTTGTGCTTCCATTACCTTCCATCATTGTTCCGCGGTTTTTGCCTTTGTTCGCACGTACTCCATTCTCCTGCTTTCGCTTGTACGATTTCTTGGCACGATCTTGGTATTCGTTCGATACCATGAGATCGCCAACGAAATAAATTTGGTTACGTTCAACGTACGCCTTCTGATTTGTTTGGTACGCGTTTCCTTGTATTGGCGTTCATAGTCAATTTAGACTCGACACCACCCTACAAGACTTTATGCGTCATCGTTGCCCAAGAACAGCAGGCTTGGAGAAAAAAAGGCATTTTTGAAGACCCTTCATAAGACATAAGGTTAAATGTAACATAAGAATGAATTAATAGACATTTGATATAGTGGTTAGGGCGGACCCACTCATTTTCAACTGTTTACGATCAGAAAGTCGTCTTAACGTGATTTCAACTTCCCAAACCTTTCCTGTGATCTTACGCAACAAAAATACGATATTTGACACAAAATATTCGTTATGAGCCTAAATCTCGGTAGATTACCTTTCTCCTCTTCTAATAGTTAACTGTGGTTTTTATCTCAGCTTACCATTCACCTTTTATGATTTTCACATCAAAGCTGGTCTCAGTATATCTTTACGTGTTATACTACTCGCTTTTATCGTCTTCCTTTATTCGTTTTGGTTATACTGTTTTTTTTACGATCTTTAACACTTAATGAGGTTTGTTAACAACTTATATTCCACCATAGCCACGATACCATTTCGTCGTCACTTGTGATATCCTGACAAGGTTGTGGAAAAATTGTCAGAAGCCCTGTAAAAAAGCCGTTCTGAAGCGGATAAACAAATAAAGACGTACAGTGAAGCAAATAAGAGGGTCCTCGAAAACATGTAATAATAATATATTTCTGCATGTGCAGGTACACACCGTTTTTACAGGCATGATCTATAAATTACAACATTTGTTGGTTCGCAAAATGCTTCCCAACTTATTAAGTTTATAGTTGTTATAAAGTGAAATCGTAGAGCGCTTGCTGTAAACTATGACCTTGAGAGGACGCGTACGTTAAGTTTGCTCCAAACGTCAGAAGTTTCATAGCTGTGCTCTCAGAGCAAGATTCTAAAAAAAAGAAACAGAGGAGCAGCAAGGCACTTGGATATGAACGCCAAAGGTTGCTTAACATTGTGTAGTAAAACGGACAGAGGTATAATAAATTAGAATAAATTCATATATGTCTTGTTAGAGTGAAGTAAGTCAGAGGCTCCATATTAGAGAATGTACTAATAAAGAACAACGAGTGTGATGTTTAAAAGTTGGAGTAAGTCACATGAAGGAAGGGAAGTCAAGGTTGGTACAAGGGAAGCGGTTTATTAGAAGGGTGTATTATAGAGGATGAAGTGTTAAGAATACTAGTGACTATATCTTTTATTGTCTTTTTTCTTTTCTTTTTTGTCCATCCGATGTCAGCCACGCAATCCTAGTGTAAAAGTCCGAGTTAGCATGTTATAGGTTGTCTTAGTAGAATAGCTGATCCAGCATAATATTGGAAACATGAGTCTGAGTGGTGAGCGTAGGAAGACAATCTATATCTTAGATTGACTGTCTTATTCTCAATTATAAAGAGCCTGATACATACAAAATGTTCTGTCCCCACAAACACGGGTGGATTGAAGTTATCGCCCTCACCATCAATGCTTGCTGGTCAGTAACTCCACCCTCCCTCCTTTTGTGATGTTAGGCTCATTTAAGCTTATTTTTGTATATACGTCATACCTCACACAATCCTCTGTTTCACAACTTGTTGGAAAGCACTATTTCTATAAGTACCATTTTACAAGCTTATCAGGCAGTTACAAGCTGTGGACTGTGGGTAAAGCATCGATGCAGTGCCTCTGTTGACTATAGTATAAAGTATAGTTTGCCAAACAGAGTATAAGCGTTAAGAAGGGTATATTGTAGGATAGTTGTTTATTTAAGCAGGCGGAAAAAGTATAGAAGTATGAGTTGTGGATAAGGGAACGAGTGGAGAAATAATATTAATTGCTAGTCAACATAGTGTACAGAAGAGTAAAAAGTTAATATAGGATAAACAGGAAGGAACTCACAGTAACTTGGTGCTGATGTTATTTTCTGTTGTCTTAACCAGTTGATTGGTAACAGGTTCCATAGATGCAAGACCACTGGTAGTAGGCAGCCGATTGTGGGGTCCTCTTGACTTTTTAGGGTGGTAGTGAGTGTCCCTTATCGACCGAGTTTAGTTTAACAGTAATGTGTTGATGGAACAAACATATAACTAGTGAGTACATGTTAAATCTTAGTCCCACCATAATATCGACGGTGTTATACTTTTTTGACGAACTTGGGTCTCCCAGCACAGCCTTCCCAAGTGCAAATGTCGTCCACCAAAATTATGTAAGTGACTGTGTCCCCCCAACAACAACAGGGCTAAAAATGACCGAGCGTAACCATGAAAACATTTGAACAGTGAAGCTGCTTTGGGAAAATCGGTCGGTCAACTGGCCGTTCAATTCACCCATTAAATTGCCTAACCAGTCAGAAAAGAGCATGGGAAGCCGAAACGCAGTCCAGCTACCAAAATAAAAGACTTCAACCTTAACGTACCCAAAGACATGGAAAAACGACCATGGTTCAGGATGGTTTTTTCATAATCATGAACACGAAAGTCAGCCTTGACCTTCGTCTCGGTCTACGGAACGAAAATGACGGGGTGTTCCGGGGAGAATTGAACAGGAAAATACAAACTTCCCAGAATTGTTCCACTGATGATTACACGGCTCACACGAGGAAAAGATTCCAAGAGTCAAAATCATCCAAGACTCCTACGTGTAAGGCCCATCAACATAATGTATGTCTTGTTAGCCAGTGACCTGCTGAAATAGGGAGGGGATGTAAGAATACTGTCTGACATACCATATACTGAGAGCAAATCTTTCACTGATAACATTAAAGAGCAGTTTTGGCTAGTTCAACAGTAGAAATTTCCACTTAATCTCCAACATTTTTGTCCTACCCCATTCAGAGTATGGAAATATAATGTTTCCTCTTTCACTTCAAAAGGATAAGGATAAACTGAAAAGCATCCAACGGCGAGCCATGAAATCGGTTCGGGGACTCAAATTCAGGTTTTGTGAAGAGAGCTCTCAATAACTGAATATTTACTCATTAGAGTACAGGTGTCTTAGAAGTGATCTAATGACTTAAAGAATTCTAAGCACTTATGGAAATCCTCTTAAATAACTACATCAACACAAACCTTAAGGGTAACACCAAGAACTTGAAGACACAACATAGCAGAACGGACCATATACACACACCTTGCACTCCTTAAGTCTAGTCAAATGCTGTAATTTGCTGCCGGCTGAACTAGTCCATGTGACTTCCCAAGAGTACTTTATGGGAAAAGTCAACATATCCTTAAGGACTGAATATGGCACAGGTATTCAGTGTTTGACAACGCTTTTACCAGTAACACCTAATATAACTCGTACCCACCAAAAGAAACCAAAAGACAGAATCGAGGAGATCAGAAGTTGTATTTGATGATTGCCAATATATCGGAATTTTCTGATCTAGTCTGACTAGCGATTGCAGTAGATGTTGAGGACGGCATTTCCACACGTGATCTGGTGCGGATACCTGACCGAGCGCCTTCAGCTGGGTGAGTCCACTAAAACTAATCTGGTCAGCATCCAATGTTGAAAACTTACAGAGCTATTTATTTTGGGGATTTATTTACCGCTACAGGACTAAGGTCAGCATCTCGCCCAAATACAGACTGCAAGGAACAAATGTTTCACTAATTGTACCAAGCAAAGTAGAAGTTCATGTTAGCATTGTCCTTCAGATGTGTACCTGACGACCTTGAAACCTGTACATGATTTATTCATGCATAAGGTTTTCTCAACGGATTCGTCCGATATTACGGAGTATGTAAGGTTTAAATCTCGTTGTAATATTTGAAATTATCGTTTCACTCTTCTATGACCGTATAATTTCACAAATTTTAGTGTTACTTGTCTAAAAATTGGTATATTTGACTCACTAAGCTATAATTTATGTTTGTATGGAGCAACACACACTTGCTTCTCTGCAATTCTCCGCTTTGTATAGTCAGTTAGAAGGATTTGGTAAGGAGTTCTTATGCTATAGTTGATTCGATTGGCACTGATAGTTTAACTATCAGTTTATTCTGTGTAGTTTTTTTAAAAGTCCGTCTACATCTGAGGCCCTTATCAACGAGTAATCCCAATCACAATGGTTTTCTTTAACTAAATGCAAATATCCTGGCAACACTTATTACCGAAGTATTTCGTCATTTATGTTGGATGTGAGATAGATTTCCATAGCGCGTGATCGACCTTGAAGTGAACAAACTAGTCCTCTCAGCTTTAATACTAAAGGGTAGATTTTGACCGTGATATTGTCAAAATTATATTTACTTCGCATCAAAAACTCGCGAATAAATAGTAGTCATTCTACTACATACCTTTAAGCTTTTCCCACTATGGAAATCCATTGTTTAGAAATAGCTCTGCTGTTGTATATCCTGGTTTGGTGTCTGAGCGCAACGGTAGGCAAACGAATAATGTTTAAAGTATGAATTCTCAGACACAAAACGCCAAGTTGTAACGTGAAAGGATACTTTTGGTGTGTGAGAAGTATTTTGAAGGTTGTATCGACCTCACCCCCTTTCGAGTACACACGTCATGTCTCATAATATCCCTAGAAACACTGTCTCGTAAGGATCTTACCAAGAGTAATTATTTATTTCCTGTCCCATGTATAGGTCGATTTTTTCTTCATTTTTTTCGTGTGTCGCTTAATTCCTTGCACTGTTAAGGAGTTTTTCATGTTGGTAGGTGTAGACTATCTGGTTTGGATCCGCGAAGCGATAGCAGACGATGGTTGGAGACCTTGAACAACATGGCTCAAAATCGTTTGCAATGGCGCAGGTGCATCTATTCTTTGTGTTCTCCCAAATTCTAATCTTCTGGGTTCTTGTCTCTTTTTTCTTTTTCCTAGTTTATTTCCCTGGATTATACTTCCTGAATAACATCGAATCTTAATCTTTCCGATTACTGCTTATACTTTTACTACCTCAACCATTATGGGATTTGAATCGACAATTGTATTTGTGTGCTAATGTGGTATGGCAACCCGAATTGATGTATGTACATACGAAGTTCTACGTTGTTACTGACTGACTGACCTTTTCATGGACTAAAAATATTACTTTTTTGCCCATATCAGACTCATGATGCAATCTTAGTGTTGGAGTCAATCAATGTATTCACTGTTGTATCGAAATCAACATAGAGACTTTTAAGTTCACGTTCCGGATTATTTCAAAGTCGCCCTGATGTTAAAGACCTTTCGTTCCTTCCAAACGTGATTAGACCACAGATTATTGTGAGCTTAGTAGATTGTGTATTTATATAGGTAGCACTCTTGTCATATGTAAAATCAATTACCTTGAGTGCACCAACCATACAAAAACAGTCGATTGAGATTTCGTTTGCTTTGTCGTTTATGGTAAGAAGTCGCGACAGTATCACTGCTGTCTCGAATTTTGACTCATATCTTACTTTTTGCAGACAGATAGATTTTCTTAAGACACGATGAACTATTCAGATTGTCACGTAGCTTATTTCGTGTCATGTAAGAGAATCAAATTCTTCATAGCTATGTTTACATTTCTACTGCTTTGTTTTCACAATAGATTTTAAATCATCTGCTTTTGGCAATGTCAATTACTCACGAAAAAACTCACAATTTCGGACACCGGTATCCACCGACACGGTGTTTAAACCTGGATTAAGATTGGCTCTGAAGTGCGGAGTTTTCACTGTCATATCTACTAATGCAATTTTTCTGGGATCGCTTATTTTGGGCTTCGAGGCTTGGCAAGCTCGTTATTCCAAAGCAAAAAGTGATTACGCCATTAGAAATTTCATTTCTACGGTATTATAATACAGTAGAGTAACTTGTTTTACAGGTTCGCGATTACATAGAAAAGATTTTAGGCAGACCTCTACAAGCCTTTGATGTTTACTGGGGTAGATTTAATTTTCTGTACTGAAATTTCTGATTATTTTAGCTATCGTAGTTTGCAATGTCCTGGTCTTTCTTGCTCTTAACAGTCAATTTTCCTCCACCCTTCTACCTTATTTCTGCAGCAGTCCATATGGGTGTAAGTATTTCATTCGTACCAAGCAGTCACGTTTTGTGTATGTGCTGCTTGTCGTTGTTATTATTAATGCAAACTTTATGCTTATGTTGTGTGTAAAGAATTAAATATTGTAGTATTGGTTTGGATTACTATATTAAAATTAGAAAGTCTTTCCTTAATTTTTAGTTCTGAAAACCTTCAGGGTCAATAAGATTTACTATCACTTCTGATAACTCACAAACTAAGAAATGGCAACTTAGCACAAATCTTTCACTGTTTGTTACTTTTCGCTGCGATCAATACCACCATCAGTTAACGTTACTTAATATGAAAGCCATTATGATAACACATGGAAGATCCTTCTACCCCATAGACTGGTGTTCAGTACCTGCTACTAAACCACATGGTTGTAAGTTGGCATAATTCAGGGTAACATTACTGACTGGGCTATGTTGATCGAAGACTTACAGAAAACATAAATTGCCCCAATAATACAGACTACTGAGTAGCACGAGGTTCGTTCCCTGGGTTTCATATTGTTGCATTGAATCATCTGACACTTGTTTTTTATGACTTGCCAATTTGGTCGTTGGGATTTAATTAATAGTGAAGATAAAGTGCACTGACATCTATTACTATTCGGTGATCGACTAGGTACTTTAATATGGTGGTTATTTTGAAAGATAATTAATTATTGGGTAAGTTGGCAGCTTTCGCTTCCCCATTTTGCTCACTTGTCCTGTAAAAGACAGATTTTTTTCAAGTTTGCTGATATATTTTCCCATGAAGTTTGGCTTGGTCAAAACAGGGTCCTTAAAATCTTCAACTAGTTGATTACAAGGGCAATACTAAGTCCTGTTCACATTAGTTTTATAGTTGTTGACGGGGAAAGATTTCCGTTTACTTTTTCAGGATCAAATAGAGTACATCTTAACCATTCCACAAATTGTTTGTACGTACGTTATTTTCTACCTCATCGTATTTTTCCTGTTTTTAAAATCTAAAATGTTTTCCTCTCTAGCCACTCCTGTATTATCACTGGTGCTTAGTTTATTTTCGCACAAAAGTCTATTCCATTTGGGTATCAATATGTATGTTTTGCACAGTTTCGCATCATCAGTTATGTCGCTTGTCGGTGTTGAGGATTTTTTCAGTGTTTTTATTGCTGGTGGTGAGTAAGAGCACAATATTTAATTGATCTATCGAAATATAAACAATTGTAATCATTTTTTTATCCTTTCTACACCATTTTATTCCCAAACTATAAAGTCATAATCACAAGATAATGTTCCTTGTACCTTTTTTAAAATCAAAATATTCATAGCTTATGAGAGGGAATCGAGAAATCACTGACATGTAAGAGAGTGTAATGTAAGAGTGTATACAAAACGTAAGAAAGTGCATTTACTTACAAGAATATTCTATCATGTTCTCTAAGTCTCTAAAATTGTATTTTAGTAACCACGTACAGATTTGTGTGTTCAACTTTAAATCAGAATTCATGTAATTGAGCTACTATTATTACACATGTTCCCAAATAAAGGTACGTAAGTCAGGGTTTAACAGTAAATACCTTACCATAAAAGTGCCTAGAGAAGTTGATTATAAGGGAAGAATTTTAGAAACCTGGTATATTTTTAGACCAATGGTTTTAAGATCGTTTTATTTTCTGACTTAGGCTGTTAATAAATTGGTTTTTCCATCACTACATTTAGGGGTTTAGTCAAAGTAATTTCAAATACTTCATGAAAGGATATAGGTCATTTAGATTTATGATCTGTCCTATTTAGTACTGTAGACGAATTTTTTTCCTTCGTTCGCCAATTAGTTTAGTTTAACTTTATAATTTTTATGTGACTAAAAGTTACAACAGATTTAGCGAATTTTCGCCCCACAATTAGTCAAGATAATATTTAACTAAATGTTTTTGAGAATGAAACAAGGCAACTAGTAGTCGGGTTTCCACCATGAAGATTTTACTAATTTGTTGAGATACATAAATTACTGAAATGTCTGAACTGTTAATTTGTCTAATTAATCGGTCTGTAAATCCAAACTGGAAGACAGAATTGCTAATTATAATCTTCTAAGTACGTATGAATATGGAATGTGAAATAAGAAAAATGATTTGTTCTAGAGGAAATTATGTATATAGTCTTTTAGTTTTGTGACGGATATATGATGAAGTGTATAATATTTCGATTTACTATATTTTTAATTATTGCTATTCACTGTGATGTTCTCTTTGGCTTTCTGTATGAAGGAATCTTCTCAGGTTATATTAGTTTGATGAATAAATTACTACGGAGATCTGCATTTCCATCATTAGGTGCCAGTGGAGGTATATGCGCTATTATTGGTGCATTTTCTATGCTTCAGCCAAATGCTAGGTTATGTGTACCGTTTATTGTTGACTTTATACCTCATTCATTTCAAGCGAGCAGTGCAGTTTGGATTATTCTTAGCATTGAAATATTTGGGCTTATATTCTTGAGTCGTCGTAGTGCATTAGATCACGCTGCACATGCTGGTGGTTTGATCTTTGGCATGTAAGTTGTAAATGGTGTTACTAGAGTCAATTTCTCACTTTATATTAATTTTATACTCTTTTGATATTAACTAAAGAAAGTACTTAGATTATGTTAGGTCGAATGTATAACGTTCACTAGAGTGATAAGCATACAATTCATTGAATACTGTTGATTTATCTTATTTCATGATGTCTCTTGAACCAAAACAGTCTGAAATGTAGAAAGAATTGATAAAATGAAGATGAACATCCTTTTTCTGAGCGGAGTAAAAGTGTTCACAATTTAGACAAAATTAACACATATGAATGTTTGGATATGCATGTCAATGTCATACACTTTTGTCAATTATTCTAATTATACTGAACAAATTGCAAACTGATGTCTAGCTTTCTGATTAGCAAACAATAAATTGTTGTGAAAAGGAATTATGTACAGAACAAACATGACAATATAATTAAAGGTGAATATAAAATGAATTTTATTAATTCACTAGTTAATCTATACACAATATTGGACAGTAGCTGGTTAGACTAAGTTTTATATGAAAGATTCAACGTTATTGTGTATCTATCCTTCAGGTTTATAAACTCATCACTAAATTTCAAAGGAAGAAACTATAGACGTGATTATGTTCTAAACTCACCAACAGGAGATTGCAATTAGTCAGTCACAAAAAAAGAAATTGGCACAAATATGCATCAGTTCAAGTTACCACAACATATCAGTATAATGAAATTAAATTATTAAGATAAGTCCGAGAATGTTTTGAGTAGTAAAGTTATTAGAAATAATAGCAGATATTCAGTATGGACAATATGGTTCGAGAAGAAAGAGTTAGCGGAGTGAAAATTATGAGGAAATGTTAAAACTGAAGATCTATGTTGAAAAATGTGTGAATGAATCTGGGTCACTGTGACCATGTCACCCAGCATCTCCAACCATTAATTACGATAATCGTGTGGACTCTGGGTAGTGAAAATTTATTTACACGTCCAAGTTCAACATTCAATGACTTTATGGTTTGATGTCACTTGTTAACTTGGCCGCCCTTGACTTTCTTTCAACTTACTAGCACATCAATAAACACTGAACGTCGATGTAGACATGTGTTAAGATTGTGTATTACACTTCTCAACCACTCATTATACCATCAACTTATTTGCCGTTTATACCTTGCATTCTTCGTTTTACCTCAGCATTAGTCACTTGGTGGTTCAAGCATAAGATACCTAAACTAACCACCTTACATTTTTCAGAAAACTACTTGATGGTTATCAATTAGTGCGTTTATACTGACCAACATTTCGTTTCGTTTATACATCGCATATGGCAAATATTTTAGTGTAACTGAGATATTTTACAATTCATTGCATATGCAAGTGTTAGTGCTGAGTAATTGAACTACATGGGCAAGACTCTATGTAAATGATATTAATGGACCAATAGTCAGTCACATATGGAATGTAACTAGGCTTTCTATAAGCATCTCATTATTCAATTTGTTTGACCGGACCAGTTTGAGGGACCATTCCGCTACCCATACTTCGGTAAGTTTAGCTATGTTTAAATGTCTAACCTGCTTATTAGAATTCTAGTCCGAGTAGGACACCGTTTTTTTCGCCGAAACATGCTTTATAACATTTATTGTTAGTGGTCATTGTTTATAGCTGGATTGCAAAATATAGCAAACTTCTTTCCTTGTGAGCCTTAATTGTTCGTAAGCAAAATGTGGTATTTTCTCATGATATATTTGTATAAAAACAGTATTGTCTATACTCATATAAACAGGTTTTCAACTGTCTAACTATCAGTGTATGTGTGCCATACTACTATTTCCAAAGAGATTTCTCCCGAAATGGGGTCTTAGTCCCATATCTACTCATGTATTGCACTGAGATTATGATGATTGTTGTATAAAGTTTTTTGTAACAGATCAAATGTACCACCTGTTCGCACTTATAGAGGTAGATTTGACGAAATTGAACAACTAACTCAATATTTTAAGTACCATCACCCTACACTACTACGTCCTATGTATTACTTCTATTATACTTATTATGTATCGTAAAACTATTTTTGTTGAATGGTATTCCATCACAGAAGTATATATATTTGTCTAGATGACGTTTGTTTTTGAAAAATTTAATTATATTTATAATTATATTCAAAAAAACAATATAGGCTGTATGGTAGCAATGGTGTTGAATCAATTTGGAAACGACATCGTGCTGTATTATCTTGGTGGAAGAATATTCGTGATTAAAAACATAGATTACAATGATATTTTTAGGATGTTCTCTATAGTTGTAATTTTATAATAAACATTCAACAAAAAAAGATGGTTGTATGCTTTGAAGATTATTACGTGTTGTACAGTGAATATACATATATATTGTTTGTTTCAGTTATGTACAATATTATTATTATATTTGAATTTGTATTTTCATTGGTTAATTAGTTATTGGGATTGTAGTCAGTCAGTCAGCTACAACGTAGGACCAGGCACATATATGCATCGGTCCAAGTTACCATACCTCATTAACACAACAAGATGGACACCGGATTCATAAAAGTAGTTAATTCAGAGGTGGTAATATATAAAAGAATGATTGCATATAAGGATATAGTACAGGAAGAAAGAATTAGTTCGTAGAAAGAAAGATATGAAGCGATTTTAATCTCTTAGTTTGAGGGAAGACAAAGAGTGTATACACCGACGCCACTGTGATCGATTCTGAGCCATGTCACCAAGAGTCTCCAACCATTGGTTACGATAGTCACGCGGACCCCAACCAAGTAGTCTGCATCTACCAACATGGCTCAGACCAGAAGTTAGTATCATCAAGCATCGATGCCACGTTTTGGTTTGGCCGCTCCTAACTTTCTTCCAACCATCTCCAACACCGGTTAGCATTGCACGTCGTGGTAATCGGTGTTCAGGCATACGTAACACGTGGCCCAACCATCTCAGTCGATGAAGATTAACAACCTCATTAACTGATTTACCATCATTTCCTAATACCCTATTATTACTTACCTGGTGATCCCAGCAGACGCCAGCAATATTTCTAAGACATCTGTGGTCAAATACTAGTAGCTAACGAGTGTCTTCTACTCTTAATGGCCATGTTTCGCTGCCGTAAAACAGAACGGACTGCTGCGCAGTATACTCGTCCTTTTATTGATAGACGGATATCTCACCTTCGCCATAGGTGACGTATGTTGGCAAAAGCCAAACGAGCTTTTCGAATCCGTGCTGAGATTTCGTCAGACACCAACCCATTAGGGCTGATCAGACTTCCAAGATAAGTGAAGTTGTCATCGCGTTCCACTACGTCCCTCCCTATTGTAAAGATTGCTTTTATTTTGGCATATTTATAGCAATTAATCCCATTTATAAATTTCGATAGAACAATGAGAAAATCATTTTTCATGTCGTTTCGCTATATTTTCGCTGGAGTTTCGCATTAATAAACGCGGTTTTCTTTTTCTGAATAATCAAACCATTTATATAAATTTAAGCAATTACTTACAATCCCTACTCTTACAACTTTCCGCTGTAATACTTCATGATTAGGTTGTATAACTTGTTTGATAGACACTGGACAATATGAGACCAGATCATAAATGTTTATCAACAATTTATGGTGAATTTATTTACATAATATCACTGTCAGGAGGTTCATTTGTAGAGGAAAGAGCATAACCAGAAGACCTACTACTCTAACCTTCACTGACGAGTTTCTGAATTTCAGTGAATGTATATATTTCCTTGTCGTTAAAAATACACGGTTAGTGGTAATTATTTTAATGTACTCCAATAGTTCCGAACTTTTTTTCTTGAGTAATAAATTCAAAGGATATATAGCAACTGCGGTGTTGAAGAAAAGACCATCTAGATCTCTGAGAAAGATGTTTTGTTCAGTAGAGCTCTGTACTGTTTTCTCCAACAAGAAACTCATTCAGGTATGTGTCAAGGGGGAACTACCGCTCTGGCCCACCTCAGTATACATTTATCAATTTACTTGTTCTTTTGGAGCAGTTTATATCGATCGTACAAAGCGTGCATTTAGTAGATTAATATCCGAGCATTACCTTGCATGACCATCTAAAAGGGACTGCAAATCGATCAACAGCTCAATCCTTGAACATATGGTCAATTCTGGTCATATGGTATTGCAAGAATTATCGCTTATGATCATCTACAAGGTATAAATGGATCAAAAAAGGTTTAGATGAAGGATTCCTCGCACATCTGAGGCGATAGCAATTCATCATTTTCAACCAGACTTCTATGTACAAAAGAGTCATGTCCAATCATCGTCTTAGGATCTCTTTGGATTTTAACAATCGTAAGTGCTGATTACTAAATTTCTTGTCTCTTAATAAAGTAGTTGGTTATTTTTTGCTTTTATTCTATAAATTATTATTTCCAAAACTTAAATAACCTTAGTTCTTGATAATCACTCTGATAAATGATACGACTTTAATCACGTTGAAATAATACCCATTTATAAACTACTGTATTTAGTACTTGGAATCTTGATAATCTCGAATGTATTATGCTGAAATGTCTTCATCCTTTTTAATGATTCAGTGGGCTCCTATTGTTGTTGGCTCAGAATAGAAGCCAGTGGCGATGCTGCTGTAACCTTCTTTTACTTTCTTCATAAAAAGTGGTTGTGTCTCCCTTATCTGAAAGATTTCTTCTGATTGTACCTTTTCGTTCCCTCGTTACTACCACACTACCTTTACACCAATCTCTTCGTTATTGTTCTTCTTTTCTTTTGCGCTCCTTAGTTTTTTTGTACTTCTCTTCGAATTTTCATTGTTTTGTGTGGCGCATATATATTGGCGCTCTCTTGTACCAATATTCATGTGTTCAAATAAAATAATAAATACATTAGACAAACATCTAAAACATTAAGTGAACTAGATGACTGGATCTATACTGTGTATTGTTACCGTTTGAATGTAATGCTTCTATTGAAATTGCAGATGCACATTTCTGATTCCACTCATCAAATAGAGATCACTCAACGATTAAGCTGTGGTTAACTGCATTTATTTGTATGTGGTCAGTAGTTTATATCTTTATACATGAAGGCAGTGCATAAAGAATGATCTATATATAGAAATGTATATTTGTTACAGAAAAATACTGTTTGAATAATTATATGTACATGTATGATGTTATATATATATATATATATATATATATATATATATATATATATATATATATATATATATATATATCATTTACAAATCTGTCTCGTTATTAAAACTAGGAGATTTTACCTTAGATTTCCTCCATATGCTTGGATTACTACTTATCTGTTTAATTTTCCCATTGATAAAACTTAACTTGACTTTTTTACCTTTGTAATTCTTATAAATTGGTTCATTTGGCTGATTCATCAGTGAAGTAGAAGTATTAGTTGTTACCATTTGTTGTTCTGTTTGTTTATTCATATTGTCTGATTGATCGTTACGAAGTTTACGATTTTCCTCCAGTAGATCAGCACACATATTTGCTAAATGATTTCGACGGGATTGTTCCTAATAAGTAGAAGATTTTCATTAATTTTACGATTTGAAGATTGGTATTTCTAAGCATAGTGATCATTAAGAATAATGTATATAATTATTGTAGCAGTGAATTGCTCTGTGGAGAAGCGAAAGTGGTTTCAGAGTTGCCAAACTTGGGAATATTTCCTGAATTTCAATGTTTATATGATTGAAGTCACTCCATGAGGTTGAGTATCTTCATAGATTACACGATATTTATTAGACCTCATGTTTTCCCATAATTTCTGTTCGACTATTCACAGAGTATGCTCGACTGTATTTCTTTGTCGTACTTGTTATTTGAAGTAAATCGGTCATAATCAGAGACTAGTAGTCCTACACTGATGCTATCTTCTGATTTGATTTAATAAAAATGAGCTTATAACAGTTAATAGCTTTGACCTACAATATGCCTAAGCAGCTGCTTTACCCGATTATCCAAAATGTTTGAGCAAGGGTTTTGAAAGCTGATCATTAATTTCAATAGTTGAGATTATGAGTCAATTTAAGCTAAATCACCATGGAAAACCTGGAAGCACTGGAAGGCCGTTTTGCCCCATTCTCGAACTCCTCAACGGTGAGCATCCACGGCCCTACCCCGTGGGATTCGAACCCAGGACCTGTCAGTCTCACGCGCAAACACTTAACCACTAGACCACTCGACCGGCATCCAACGGTGTTAATGTCTAACTTCAACTAATCCACGAAATTAAGCGACACATCCATCATTGTCATCAGTGAGTTACTATCTCACAACAGAATCGATCCCACAATAGGACGAAACGGCCGTCCAGTGCTTCCAGGTTTTCCGTGTTCGTCTAACTTCAATTACTGAAATTGCTACAATCTCCACAAAACCCATTCTGATTTGATCATTAACTTACTTTCACACCAACTGAGTGTTCTCTTTCTTTTGATTGTTTCTTTATTAATTAGTGGCATGTTTATTATATGATTTTAATTATTATTTTTTGTTGTTTACCTATCTTACCTTCATTTCTTACTTCTCGATAACATTTTTTAGCGGAATTATACTACTTAATAATATTCAGTAGCTAGTTTCACTCTTCATTTTAAGTATATGGTGCATCGTATTTCTCTGTCGTTGTATGGCGTTACTAAATATTTACATAAATTTGTTACTGTAATTACCAACTTTTAGCATTGATAACAGTTATTTACAATTTTGACTCATTCACTGGATCTTTATTTCAGTATAATAGTTTCCATCCATATTTTATGTTTTTAGTCTCCATTTCTATTGCTGACATTGTTGACTTTACACACAGCTACTTGCTGTTATTTATACTATGGTTAATCATAAATATTCATTTTGCAGTTGTTATACACACACTGACAGGTTAAACACCACAAACAACTGATGAATTAAGGTTTGTAATTATTTTGCGAATATTTTTATAGTAATAGTATCACCATTTTTTTGTAGACAAAAGTTTTGTTTTGGCTACTAATTTTTCCCACTTCATTCTATCGTATAATTGAACGTTTCAATAGAATTAACAGTTATTCTAATACTTTAAAGTCATTTTTATTTTCTAAGGTGGTTTCTGAACATTATTAAATAAGAATGCTTTTACATTATCCTAATGAGTAGAAATTTGGATTTCTGATGTTTCGTAACAACGCAAATGATTTCTTCAGAGTAAATAAATAATTAACCGAATGGAATCAACACAGGTTTTAATAGTACATAGAAACAAAACAAAATCATAATAGGCCTGAATATGTTAATACTATGTGAATTTTTGGTCAAGATGATTCTGTATAAGACATTATGTTTATTTGTACGAATGATGGTTGCTATAAAAATGTTTAATTTGTAATTTGTACTATGATTACTAATTACAAAGGAATGAACAATAGATGCATCTGGGTTACAATAAAATATTTTCAATCTTTCGCTTCGTGTGTTTTGAGGACTCTACTTGAGTTTACACTATATTAACAACTTAATACAGCAGCCACTAACTTTATGAATAAATCTTTTACCCCATGTTAATGATTTAGAAACTTTCGCTTTACTTCTATTTCAGACACTACTATGTTCCCCCAAATGCCCTGGTATGGCCGAGAGTGCGGTGGGCCCGCCCTACCTCTCGAAATGCTCTCACACGGCCACGCGTATACAGCTTCTGCCAAGGAAGTCTTACTCACTGCCTTCTCGTGGCGGGGGTGTTGTCTACGAAATTGAGAGGACGAAAATCGAATGTCCGGCGCTTTAACCGGATCCCAAATCAATGGTGCACATGGGCTCCAGTATCCTGCGGGAACAAATGGCATATGAACCTAATGCTGGTCACCGGCTACCATGGGACTGCATCTCCTCACGATGCTCCACTGCCTTGTGGGTCAGACCTTTAGGTCGAAGGCACGGGGTATGGACCCCTAATAAAACCACCTGCTCCGATTCGGGCACCTGGGCAGTTTCACAGCCCTCACACAAATCCAATGCTTTATGTGGCGCATATGTATTTGGTGCCTCCTTGTACCAATGTTTATGTGTTTAAATAAATAGATAATAAATAATACATCTAGAAAATTCTTAATGCCTATATTGATAATTTTGAATACTAAAAATATAAACCAACATATTTCAATATCATAAAGAATATAAATTACTGTATAGTAATGAAATTGAATACAACATCTTAGAACTTACCAATAGGAGTTGTTCATTTATTTTTCTTAAATAATTTCGTAGTTCATTTTCATTTAATTTTGTTAAATCATATAATTGATCATTTGTTAGATCTTGTTTAACTTCTCTATTACAGTTATTCATTGTATTGTTATTATTATTATTATTATTATTATTGTTATTATTATTATTATTATTATTCAATTCATTTGTATCGTGTGATGATTGTGTAAAAGTTTCTTTAGTTATTTTTAATCTACTTTTTTGTTTTATTAGTGGTATATAATCTATTGAAGAATTTTTGAATTTCATATTACTATTCACTGTTAAATTATTTGATCTTTAATGAAAAGAAGAAAAAAAAGATATAATGAAAGAAAAAATATATATCTAATTGAATGATTTATTTTTTGGGTATAGATGAATAAAAAAAACTATGGGAAATTGGATATGTATTTTATTATAGTTTTTAAGGTATTTAAAAAAAATGATACTGGGTTAGAAGTGGTCTTCTTCACATGAGAGCAGTCCCTCAGAGATTAAGTAACAATTGCTAGAGGACAGTAACATACTGTTTTTTTATAAGTCCTTTTCTGTATACTAGCTCTGTAATTTAAACGACGTAGAGCGAATGATGGAAATTTGTGGGGCAAGGTGAGATGTGTTCTTTTTTGAGAGCTGATATTTTTTAACCCTTGCCTTTCGATGTAGGAAGGCAGTTTTACTGCATATGCTGATTGACCGAGGAGAATACATTATTATTGTCACATTACAGTATCATCAGTCTTAATATCTCTCTAACTTATATAAGTTCTTGACAAAGATATCCTTAGCAATATTTCCTTACTTAAGTCAGTCAGTAACAACGTAGAACTTCGTATGTACGTACATCAGTTCAAGTTGCCATACCGCATTAGCACAGAGATACAATTGTCGATTCAAATCCCATAGCGGTAAAGTTAGTAAAAGTATAAGCAGTAATCGGAAACATTAGGGTTTACGGATGTTATTCACGGAGTATAATCCAGTGAAATAAATTTGGAAAGAAAATAAGGGACATGAAGAATTTGGAAAGGAAAAAAACGAGGCAAGGAGGATTCAGGAAATAAGGATTTGAGAGAACACAAAGAGTGGATGCACCTGCGTCATAGCAAACGGTTTTGAACCATGTCATTCAGGTTCTCAAACCATCGGTTGCTATCGTCTTGCGGACACCAACCAGGTAGTCTACACCTACCAACATGGCTCAGTCCACTTGTCAGTGTCTTCATGGATTTGTGCCATGTTTTGGTCTGGCCACCCCTAGCTTTCTTCCAACCTACTCCTATACCATTGAGTATCGTACGTCGAGGCAGTCGGTCGTTGGGCATACGTAACACGTGTCCCAGTCAATCATAGAAAGTGACCACCTGAAAGTGATAAATACTGTATTAATCAACTAATGACAACAAAGTTTGTAATGATTATATTCTCATCACTTATTCATTGGTCTCGATATAGAATTACAATAATACAGTGTTGTGGTGGACAATGAATTATTTTGTATGTGCTTCTGTGTTAACCACACTGAATCACCACCGTATATATCAACTAATTAAACGAATATAGAATCTGATGTACACATTCTAAGATTAGTTTATTCAATTGCTGTAACTCATGATAACTCCGGAGTTTGATAATTAATGATTATGATATTTGAATTTTACGGATTCGAATTCATCTAATTCTGATTGAACAATTGAATAGAATCACTAAGACTTCTACTTACAAATAGTGTATTTCAAAATCGAGTAAATTTACATCATATCTGGTAAATCAATTATATTATACTTATTTATATTATAGTCCAATACCCTAGTTTATCAACTTTCTTATTCATTAGATTTTTATTCTGAGTAAAACTCTGTTATAAAAATTGTAAACCTACCGACTTTGTTCCAATTTACTGAATGTAGTATTGTCATGTAATTTCGTATTCCATGTATTTGTTCCAGCTGATTGTAATCGACGACGTATTGTAATAATTCTAGCATCTGTATTACAATGTGAATGAATTTTTTCAGTTTTAGCTCGTCTCCATTTCACTGGTATATGGAATGTTGTATCAACATTTGAATTCAATGAATTATTTAATGATAAATCATTAGTTTTATTTGAATCCGGATTCAATGTAGATAATGAAGATTCACTTAAATCATTTTGGTTTATAGTAGATATTTTAGTGACTTGTATTTTGTTATTTTCAGGAATTGGAGAGTTATTCTGAAATGATTTAAGATAGTTCTTTTTAGAAAAAAAAGGAGAAAGATTTTCTGTGAAAATCGGTAGAAATTATTTATTCTCTGAATAAATGACTTACACTAAGTCATGAAACGTCAGAAAATCTAATTTTTCTAGATGGTGGAGAAGATTTGTAGCTCAGGTGTATGATTTTGGAGCGATGAAAGCTCCACGACCAAACCATTCAGCTGAGAGAACAAAACTTCACCAAAATCTAATTTTTCTACTCATTGGTATATTACAAATATATTTATTGATTTATAACAATCTACCCAATGTTCAGTTTATTCAAAATTGGTAACGATACCTATAGAAATTATTTGTTTGTTAGTCGGATTGAACATTACCCTACTTTTGATCGAAATGATGTAATCATTATATTTATATGAATGATACTGTTGTGTAATAAGTATGGAGTATCACTCTAATAATGATTACAAATTCTGTTATGAAACTTATATTATTTTTATAACTGATAACGAGTATTCTTCTCGACGAATTTCCCTCTTAGAACTGATAATCATAACAGTGTTGACTACATAATAATGATATAGATGTTGAGGAGATAGCATTGTTATGTGGAATTAACACATAGATCAACATATTGGTACAAGAGGAGCTATTAGACAAGCGTTAATATACCTTTATATCCTTATGTCTATTTATAAAAACATTATTTGATCTTTAATTAGTTGTTATTATTGATCGTGTTGACACTAGTTTAAGTTACTCTACAATTGCATCAGGTGGCTGAAAGTTAACAACAAGCCATGAACCTAGGTTCCATGTCATTTGGCACTAGTTAAAGAAACATGTCTAAAACTACAGGGAGATTATAGATACACATTGAAAGATGGTCATAGAATATTGTTAGATAATTAAGATTAGAAATACAAACTATTGGACGTCAATTCGGTATCCTGAAGTTCAAGTGCTTGCTATGAAACCTTAAGGTTCTGGGTTCGATCTCTAATGATGGGGTTGTAGATTGGTACCATTGAGAAGTTCAATACTAGCATGAAACAGTTGTCTGATCATTCCTATTCTTCTGTGGTTGTTTAACTAAAATCGGTCAGTGATGTAAACCATGAAACTATAGTCTCAAATTACTTAACTTAGTTTTAAATGTTGATCAGGCTTTACGAGAATGATTATTTAAAGCTAACCTTGTGATTTTGGAACTAGATGGGCATAAATCCTGTTAAATACGTTTACTATAGTTTTTGATTATATTTATATCAATTCATCTATGATGATCCAATATTTTAAATTATACAATGACGGTGTAGTTAATTGTTAAAACAAAAATAGACAATTCCTATTATTTATAACTTTTTATAAATAGTAACGATGAAGCGTGGACTATCAGTTAGAGCAGTTGATATTTATCAAGTAGGTTGTTTCATCTTTAGGCAATGTCATTTGATTTCCATCCAAACGATGTGACAAAAAAAACGAGTATTTTAAGCTACATTTGATGAATAAAATATTATCAGAAGGGGTTTGTGGAGATTTTAGAAATTTCACAGATTGAAATCATGATAGGTCCTGAGTTCGAGTCTCACGGGGTGCGGGATCGTGGATTCGCACTACTGAGGAATCCCATGCTAGGACGAAACGGCCGTCCAGTGCTTCCAGGTTTTCCATGGTGATCTAGCTTCAATTGACTCATGATCTCAATCTGTGAATAAAATATTGTTTTGTTTAAAATAATACCGAAATAAGGATTGATAGTAATGATAAGTTTGGTTAGTTCAAAACAAGCTAGTAAGTTTACTATATATATATATATATATATATATATGAAAACATGCAGTGAAAAGTTATACACGAAAGTAAACTTAAATACCAAATAACCATCATTATAATTGGTTATGTAACTGCTGTTCTCTCACTAATTTGAAAATGAAGGAAATATATTAAATCTTACTTTTTATATGTTTGTACTACTATCTAGGAAGAGATTGTATTGGCTTAGTTTCGTTAATTAATCACTTTTTTTAACCGTTATTATACAAATCCCAACGATATTTGAATTCAAATGGCAATAAGAAAAAACGGATAACACAGACCACAAAGTTCTAAGCCCATTAAACGAATTCAAAGCAGAGCAGTGTATGTGTATGCAAGCAAATACAGTGGCGAAATTATAGTCAAATCGAACCAAGGAGCAGCTAGGCAATTAGCAAGATCCGAGCATATATATATGGGAAATAGACTGATTCATCGAGCGATATTTAAGCGATTAACATTTAATCTTGAGAGAGATATGTGCATATGTCGTCACATATGATCAAGCGTACATGTTTATACAGACGTGATGATGGTCACAATAACCATAAAGAAATAGACGAATTGTTACTTTTCGGAATAACATTGTTAAATAGGCTAATAAAAGGGTTTGAAAAAAAGTTAACCATAATCTAAATTGATTGTAGGAGAGTTGCTATTCGATGATTGTTAATAAGGTATAGAATTCTTTTCATTAAATGTTAATATTACTTTTCTTTTATTACTCAACACATATTTGGATACTTTATACTTACAGAATAGTAGAATTTATAGCTTATAAGTAAATCTGTCACTGAAAAACGAACACCATTTTGTTATTCAATTCTTGATATGAATCACATTTTAACTATCCTATATTACTAAGTGTTGATAGCTTGAATCTTTGAGTCGGTAAACGTTTGTTTAAGTTTGTATATAAGTCTTGTTGTTGAATAATCACAAGTTTATGAAATTGGCACTGATTTCTTTTGACCGTATAATATATAAGATAATAGCCAATGAAGACATCAATAAACCAATCTAAAGCATTAGAGGTGTTTTGTCATTAAAGATATAACCTATTTATTCTCAGTATAGGGTTGTGGAGGTTATTAAGTTTTTGATTGAGGTCATGAACCGATTGATGTCAGACCACCATTGAAAACTTGGAAGCACTGGACGGCCGTTTCATCCTATCTTGGGACTCCTCAATAGTGCACATCCACAATCCCGCTCGTCGGATTTAGTATCACATGCGAACGCTTAACGCTTATTCACCTTAGAATGATGTCAACTTGTAAAAGCGATTTAAGCTAAGTCAAATAATATATGATAAATGATGAAAATAACAGGATATTATCACTTCCTCTCAAGTTAGATTGAAGATAATAGCTAGCATATCATTTGAATAACAACCATAATCTATATGAATTTGTTTTCTTTTAAGTTTTGATAAACATTTATGAAAAGAAGGTTGCCAAGAAGAAATTACCTGGTCATTCACACTCCTTGGACATGTTTCATTTTTGTCTGAAAAAAAGAAGCGAAAAAGTTTTTAGGGGCTTGTTTTCAAATCAAATTGATGATTATTACTTAGATACTCCGAAATCATCTTGATTGATCAAACGTTTTTGCATATAGGGATAATAATTGAATAATTAGATCAGTGTAAATTACAATCTAATGTAATATTTGAATGAAGAATATTCTTTTCCATAAATTCTCTTCAAGTTCTACAATTCATATATCCAGATTAATAATCCGGAAAATGAACAGATTAAGGGCAAAGTACATCGTTTAATGTTAAAGTATGTGAATTTAGGATTGTTAAACAACATACAAAAAAATTGTTAATATCAGAATGGGTTTTGTGGAGATTTTAGAAATTTCACAGATTGAAATCATGAGTCAGTTGAAGCTAGACCACCATTGAAAACCTGGTCCTATATAGGACGAAACGGCCGTCCAGTGCTTCCAGGTTTTCAATGGTGGTCTAGCTTCAACTGACTCATGATTTCAATCTGTGAAAATTGTTAATGTTGATATGATTCATATAGAGTGTTGACTTGAATCTGTAGTTATGTGAAGTGAAAATTTAAGATCCATGATCAGAATAAATATGGGTCAGATAGGGTGAGAGAAGTAATAGTGCAATAACAATTCGGTCAAATATTTAGTGGAAGGCTATATTGTGTGTAATAAGGAGGAATAAATGCGAAGTGAATGAATCATGTGTAGGGAAGATTAATAATGATGTTTAACCAATAGTAATAATAATACAAAGGTTTGTGAATAAAGATAACAGAGACAATTACATTTGATTACGAATGATCGTAAGTACAATAGTCAAGTTAAATTGTTCAACAGCTAACATTACTATTGATTAATTGTACTTGATTTTGGCCAGGGGAGGAGTAGCGGTTGAAGATATTTCTTCTGTACGCCTAGCTTCGGTTTCTTAATCCGGATGGCTAAGATTGCTGTGATGGAGATCTTTAAACAACTTATGTAATATCTTATATATAGACAATGATTAAGTTTAGCGTTTGATAAAAATCAATTAAACATTAGACTGAGTTAGCTATTCGGCTTTATAGTTGGATATCCTGGGCTAATACTGATTTCAGTTAAGTGATTTTAGTCAAGTTCGATACTTACATCGTACCAGTTGAATACGTTTGTGAAAATCTTGACGCGAAAGCATTACGAGGTTTGATTTTCTTGTGAATATCAATACTAGTATGAAGATATGTCCAACGAACTATGCCCAAATAACACGAGACTTTCGTCCTAAATTTCGCTGCTATCCACAATTCAACTTTACTAAAAACCTTTCTTTGTTTTTTAAAGTCAAAGAATTACTGATTAATCTTGATTTTTTAGTATCCCTCTACAAATTGTTTTCTAGTAAGTTGTTACCTGCTTTGGTTTGGGCACCCGGGCAGTATCACAGTCCTCACGCAAATCAAATGAGATTCGTGTGGCGCATATGTATCTGGTGCCCTCTTGTACCAGTATTTATATGTTCAAATAAATAAATAAATAAGTTGTTACTTTTATGGCTGAAGATCTTATCCTTTCAACTGATCTTTCTAAACTTATGTTTGCGTTTTTTAACTGCTGTTAAGGATATTTAAAATGAAACCATTCTACCCGATTATCTTCTGTTTAATGCACTGTAATCAAGAATGATTATGTCAGTCGGAATTATACTTGGGATAACTGTAAGTCAGTTATTTCTGTCTGTATATCAACTGTGATATCACTACTGATGATTATTAGATAAATGAAGTTGAATTTTGTGAACTATTCTTGAAATTAAAAGAAGCAAATAGTAGATTAGTATATTCTTTCTTTTAATAATAATTTTTAAACTGAAAACAACTTTTAGCTATCTATTAGTAGTAACTGTATACATATATGTGAAAAAAGTTACTACCTTGATGATTACTGTTGGATATTCTTATTACCGTTTCTTTATTCAAACATAGTTCTTCGTTTTTTGGCAGACTAACAGTTGTTGGATCCATCTGTTATATGAATAAATTAAAATAGATATTGATTAGTTTTAATAGTTAATTGGAAATGAATCCATAAAAATTGTGTTCTCTGAGTTGAATAGTTTGGTCGTGAAGCTTTAATTATCCTCCTGAACAACATCAATAGCACTCAGTTCAATCAGCAATCAACATACACATTGAAATAGATCCAATTTACTAACCGATGAGAAAAATCATGGACAAATCTAGGACCAAGAATCAAATCAATGGGAGATACAATCAAAATAACGAAGTAGACGGATCAAAGGTCGATGGTAACCAGTCAAGATCGATGGGACAAGCTATGAATCATATCTGGAGAAATTCGAACACTTCAATTCTACCTAAAGTTTGTGCTGGTGATGTTGTTTAAAAGAATAATTAAAGTTCCAAGACCAAACCGTTCCGTTCAGAGAAGAAAACTCCACTTACGTGAAGTATTTAGGATGACGCTATCTCCTAGTTAATATATTTATGAAAGACATATATGCCTTAAGATACTTACTGACATTAAATTGGAAGCTTTTCAGTTCCATTTAAATTAGTTAATTTGATCTGGTAAGTTAAATTTCATAAATTGATGTATAAATGAAATTCCAACAAGTTGAGTTAAACCAACGTCTGAGGATGTGTTTTTTTTAAGACTATTCAAATAGTGTCACGTTTTAACAGAACACATTAAACACAAATTAATTGGTATAAACTTTGAATGAACCATTTGATCTGAATTTAGAAAATTGATTCTATTTCTTATGATTCTCAATAAATTAAGTACATGGTATCTTTCTGGTGATCGACTTAGTATTATTCAAAGGGATTTTAGAAAAACAATTTCCTGAATTTATATATGCCTCATTTTTGAAACTATTCTAGGTTTGAGAGGATTAATCTTTTATCATCAAAATGTCATGTCTTGATTCTGAAATTCGAAAAGATAAAAGTTATTCTGCTATCTTATTATTTATTTCATTATTGATAATGAATGAAAGGTATGCCAATCACTTAGTCGTTATTAATGTGAAACTTTGGATAAGTGTGATTCCGTCTGAATTCGCACAATTCATATCAGCAAAGTTACAGGAAAATAACATTATCAATGGCTTAGAGTAAGAAATAATGGTGAACGTAATGGAAGACTAAACATAAGAGAATTCAGAAGGAACAGCTGCATTCGAAGTATGCGTTCTTAGGAATGATGATCATATCAAAATTTACGAAAGCACAGAGATCCGATCCAACTAAAGAATTGTAACTCAAGGTTTCCAACCGGTTGCCATGAATACTGTTTGATTTTCAATCAAGAAGTCTGCATATCCTAACACTCGAGAAGTTTATGGGCTGATGTCATCTTATTACACCGTCAGGTGACAGTTTAGAAACATAGACCACTTATTATCGTCAATTGCTTCTGTGTTGCTTATTTTCATAAAATTTAATTTCATATTTAAATTTAATATCATGACAGATAGTGCTCTAGAGGTTAAGCGTTCGCACACGAAGCCGAAAGTCCTGGATTTGAGTCTCACGTGCTGGATTGTGGATTCGCATTACTGAGGAGTTCCATACTAGGACGAAACGTCCGCACAGTGCTTCCAAGCTTTCAATGGTAGTGTAGCTTAGATTGACTCATGAGTTTTATTTAAAAGTACTACAATCTCTACAAATCAATTATATCAATTATGTTTTATTCAACAACAACAAAATTACAATTCCTGGTTTATATAAAAATAAAAAGAAAAACTTACATGATTTGACTGTTTCATGAAAATTAATTCAGGTTTACGTGTTCTTCTTCTTGATTGAACACAATTAGCTGTTTCAATTAAATTCATTGTTTGTAAACCATTTGAAGTGAAATCAGTTGGATTTTCATTGTTATTTTTAGTTATTAATTTGTTATCAGCTATTTCTTGACATTGTAAATTTGTGTACAAGTCAGTTGATGAAAAGATTTGTTGAACATCTAATGAATGATACTTTCGACTGGTGTAAAAATGAAAATGTTTATAAACATCGATTAGTTGATATTGGTTTTTTTTTTAAAAAAAAATTCAGTATCAATAAAGTATTTAAAATATTACTGTTCTTTCTAGAATTGAAAGTAGAGCTCTGACTTAGTGACTGAACAGTTTGATGTTCAGTCATTAGGTATTAAATTCTTCAACTTTACTTTATCTACTTAAGTTTCTTAGAGTGAGTAACATTACGGGTTACTTATATCCACATAAGTAGTATATAACGGTGGTCAGGCATAGAATGTATTTCAGCAGAGAATGGAAACGGAACGCAGTTGGTATGAAAATATATGAACAATGAAATCTGAGACAATGGACTGATATTTACAAAAGGTACAGTCAAATTTGAGACGATGGATTGATATTTTGCAAATTAACTATTTACTATATGGTTCTCAGATTTTATTGAGATGCTCTGTAATTTCATGTCAAATACATTCGACTGTTCACACTGATGTTCTTGATCACTACAACATCGTAAAACCTCATACGTAACTTGTGTTTGGAGTTAAACACATGAGTTCATATCTGATAATGAGTTAAGGGTGATAATAATAAAATTAACGAAAGTGTATTCACTTTGTAAATAGGTCAATGGATTTATTTTCTATAAAGATCTTAATTTGCACTTTTCTACATAATTCTTCACTTTTTAAATGATTATATTAGTTATCTTTTTATTAACAAATAACTATATTTCAACCAATCCACGAAACTGCGCCACCGTACACCATTGTCTTCAGTAAGTTGATATCTCATAACAGACCTGACTGAACTCCACTGGTAACAGCTTCTCACAAGAACTCCAGGAAATGCCTCTGGAAGTCAGTCACTAGTGAGCAGATGATTATTATAAGAAGGGGTTTTGTGGTAATTTTGGAAATTTCACACGTTGCAATCATGAGTCAATTGAAGCTAAATCACCATGGAAAACCTGGAAGCACTGGACGGCCGTTTCGCCCTAGTATGGGACTTCAACACCATTGGATCCCGACTCAGTGGTCTAATGGTGGTCTAGTGGTTGAGCGCTCGTGCGCAAGGCTGATAGGTCCTGGGTTCAAATCTGGCGAGGGTCGGGATCGTGGACGCGTAATGCTGAGGGGTCCCATACTAGGACGAATCGGCCGTCCAGTGCTTCCAGGTTTTCCATGGTGATTTAGCTTCAATTGACTCATGATTTCAACTATTGAAATTTCTAAAATCTCCACAAAACCCCTTCTGAAAATAACTATTTACTAGTCTTTATAAGAAACTTCATGAATTATTTACAGTAACAATACTGTTATTGTATATTACATTCTATGTTAATATTCAGTATTAACTAATAAGAACTTATGATTGGAGTGTTCAACTGGATAATACGCTTACTAAATAAACCTCAGCAGAAATAGTTTAACTATGATTCTCTTTTTATGAGACGATATTCATAATGAAGAAAAATTAATGTTCATTTAAATAGTAAACTGAATTAATATGGGGAGTAAAGGTAATGGATATTGAATCACGAAGACCTCAATGAAAACATGTTAAACAAAAAAACAGGACAGCCAACAACCAAAGACAATTTCTTCTGCAAAATTAAACACTTGTATGAAAAACATCTGACTTAATTAAGTGATAGATACAGATCGTTCAGGTTACTTTTCAACATTTGAAATTGGGACCTAATATTCGAACTTAATTATTAATTACCATATCGATAACGTTTAAGCAATAACCCTACAGTTAATAAGACTATACTTCTGCTCTCATATCTGTTGATTTATTACTTAGTGGTGACCAGTGCTATGTTTATTCATCCTTTCAGTTTTGATCAAAACATATCGATCAAGTTACAATCTAGCAACTAGTTTAAATGACTTAACACCATTTGTATTAGGTTGAGAAATTAGGCATTTAGAGATGGTCACAGGAAAGTTAGTCGCGTCTAACTAACTCAGTGGTTACATCTCGGACTGCGAATCTGGGTGACGCAGATTGGAATTTCCTAGGGATCATAATTTTTTTTATAGATTGCAGATAACAACTAACACAAAACCTTGGTTTAGGTTTTCTTTTTTACTATCTCCAACCAATCAACAACTTTCATCTCAGTTTATACACATAAAAGTTAATTAATTGATAACTTGACCAGAAAAACATCTTAATGGTTGACTCAGTGTTAAATACATTGAAAGATACTAAGTAGTCTTAATTTTCACCCATTTATTATCACATTTTTATGATGAATAAAGTACTAAATTTACAACTTCATGATGCAGAGTTGTTAATTTAATTTAAAAAATACTAGTCATGCATTTAGACCTTTCAGATCAGGCTGAATGTTTGGGATATTTTGGGTCGAAAATTCGGTCATTGAGGATAAATGAATTATTTCCAGAAATCATTGGACTTTTTAAATTGTAATTTAATGTTATGGCTCAAATCACGAATTTATCTTAATTAGTCAATCACTGAAAAATAGGATGCTTGAATAGCTCTTTCACCTTAGTATAGGATTCCTCGTTGGTGCTCATTCACATGCTGACTATGGATCGAACCCAGTCGCTTCGGGTTATATAACGAGTACTTAATATTTAGATCGCTACTCCGGTATTTGGTGATTTGCATGCATAGCTCTAATCATCTTGCGACGTTACTCTTTGATTTTTTAATATCACTGATAAGCAACTATCTCACACTCAACATAACTGAACTCCACAATCCCCGAAGGGTCGTGAGTGCTCAACGCTATGGAGTCTAAATTAGGTCAGTTCGTGATGTAAAATGTGAAATTCAACCATCTCCATGCTACCTTTGGACTATTAAAATTATTACGTATTGGAAGGCTGCTTAATATATATGTTAGACCGCTCAATGAAGTCGAATGATAATGTAGTGTAATACAGTTTTTGTCAAAATTATAAGTCATAAAATGTTGGGAACCCATTTATTTGGGAAGAATTTAATCATGTGACCTTTTTATTTCATGCACCAAGGTCGATTTTATAATTTCAGAAATTTGAATAAACACCACGATGTGCAATGCTAACCGGTGTTGGAGATGGTTGGAAGAAAGTTAGGAGCGGCCAAACCAAAACGTGGCATCAGTGCTTGAAGTCACTAACCTCTAGTCTGAGCCATGTTGGTAGATGCAGACTACTTGGTTGGGGTCCACGTGATTATCGTAACCAATGTTTGGAGACTCTTGGTGACATGGCTCAGAATCGACCACAATGGCGTCGGTGTATACACTCTCTGTTTTCCCTTAAACTAAGAGATTAAAATCGCTTCATATCTTTCTTTCTACGAACTAATTCTTTCTTCGTGTACTATATCTTTATTGCAATCTTTCTTTTATGTATTACCACCTCTGAATTAACTACTTTTATGAATCCGGTGTCCATCTTGTTGTGTTAATGAGGTTTGGCAACTTGGACCGATGCATATATGTGCCTGGTCCTACGTTGTAGCTGACTGACTGACTGACTTGATGTGACATATTTTTTCATAGAAAATGTTTTGTTGGTTAAATTAGTCGACTTAAAAATCTATTTTAAAAAAATATTTACTAATATGAGAAAGTAGTTTTTACTTAAATCTACAGAACTGTTATTCTGGTTACTTCGACCTAGAATACTGCGGTACATTTAAGGAACTAAGGCACTCATCTATGTTTTTATAGATGGGCGAATTTGTTTATAAATAGAATATAATATGATTATTTAGTCACAAATTTTACTCAAATTTCTAAAGTGGTTAACCGTAAAACTCAGAAAGTGCTCTTATTCCCATATTCTACTTGTCGGTGTTCATATTGGTATGCGAATACATCGAGGTGACGAATTAAAATGAAGGGAAAAATGCGCCCTTTTTGATTCCACTATTAGCTACTATCTAACTCGAATTAAATTGATGATTATTATTTATATTTCTATTTAGAGATGATCCATTATATAGGTGGTAGTATATAAGCTACTTTTTATTTTAATAACTGTTCGTAATTGAATATTAAAAACAGAAAAAAGAAATTAAGTAATATGACGTTTCAGCAAATTATCGTTTTTTGTAGTTCCTATCTGATTCATAAATATATAACTTAGTTTATTTAAAAGTATGATGTTTAGAGCACATTAGACTGTGAATTTCAACATAATTCTAGTATATGTCTACAGTTGATATCTGAGAATTATAATAAGAGTTATAATGAAAAGATTTTGATAGAAAAACACTGTAATATTGTCAGTCAATTTATCAAGTTTAAAAAAAGTCATTGTTTAAAATAAACTTGTAATTTATAGATATATTGTAGTGTCGGTTACTATATTAAGCCCATATAACATTCTGGCTTCTGGACAGGCCAGTTTATCCATTCTTCTGAAGTCATGTTTTAACCTTTTTCTTTAATCACTTATCAATGGTGACTGTTTTTATATGGGCGTATGTGTGTGCACTTCTTATTCTACTCATCACATGTTTGTAGCTTATTTTTGCATGACTAGAAATATTGATTAACGCTTGATTAAGTAGAGTTGGCTCACACGCCTCCACTGAGTGTTTTTTTGTTTCGCTTCATTCTCTGCGATTCTCTGGTTGTCTGTTCCGATCAACGAGTGTACAGAATATACATATTCGAAATCCAATATACATATTCAAAAGTCCATTCTCATTATTGACTTATTTAATTCCATTATTCACTGACGCGAGTTAAGCCGATAGAATATAAGAGGATAACCGACATGTGTAATTCAATAACAATCATTCATACGATCTAATTAAAGTCAGATTATAGGCCACGAAATCGGTGACCCCGTAGACAACATCGTCCGGTCTAATGGACGTTAAAATTTAGGGTCCTACTAAAATATTTGTTAACAAAATAACATGTTTTCTAGGTTACTATGAAAATCCATATTATATCAAATAAGTTTAAGAATATTTATATAATTTAGGTAAATAAATCATGATGAATAAATTTTAACACATTTTTGTATTGGTTGTTTAAAACATCCCACTGATGTTTAGAACTGCAATTGGTCAATCTCTTATAAGTATACATGAATCGTATATGAATCGCTTTGATATAACCGCTGATTCATGAGCGTTTTATATACATAGTCAAATGGTATCTAGCTGAAGAATCCAGGACATGTGTTTCATTGTATTTGGGATTTATCATGGCTAATCATTACTTAAATTTATGGCCTATTAAAAATTCATTAACATGACCATTTCTTCATGTTATTCTATCACTAAATTATCAATAACTGAATGTTTTAAATCATTAAGAAAATAGTTCTGTATGTACTCTTTGTGAGTATGTTTTTGAATTGGTTGAATGTATTAATTATTTGAAACTTTAGTTTCATTAGATATGAGTATTTGGTTCACAAATGTTCAGACTGATACGTTTACTAATAATTATTGGTATAACTATAGTGAAGGAAGACTCAATGGGTATGCCTGTAATAGCATACACTATATACCAATGTTAAATTGAATGGTAGTGAATTTTCTAGTTTACTTTAAATGTTTGACATAAGCTTAAAAGAGTAATCTATAACAGATAGAGTTATGTATTGATATCATCCTTAAGTAGATGACTAGTTGTTCTTTTTTTTTCTTGATAAGCAATGAGAAAAATGCTCTATAATTAAGTTCAACATACATTGAAAATAATATTGATAAGACGTTGATGCTTTGTGAAGAAATTACTATGGAAATTTACTCAAGATATTTAATAAATATCACTCATTCATCTAATTCACCTTGGAAATAAGAGTAAAGTTCAATATTTGATTCATGTGTGTTCTAATCGCATAGATAATCTCTTGGACTTCAAAGTTATTGATTCATAGAAATTTTATGTAGATGTACAAATGATACATTTTTATATCTTTATTTATATTTTTATAGGAAGTAATTTGAATTATCCCTACACTTTACCAATCTTAAAAGTCGGAAGCAGAAGACATCATAAAAGAGGTATTGTAACATATATAGGTATCATTACCAAGGTTTGACTTGATAATTTCGTATAAATTGAGCATTGAGCAGATTGTTATAAATAAAATTAATATATTTATAATATCCCAATGAGTAGAAAAATTAAATTTTCTGAAGTTTTGTAACTCAATGTAAGCCATTTCTTCAGAGAATAAATAACCGAATCCAAATTAATCCAAGCTTAAATAGTACAACAGAACAACACTAGAATATTATGTGAGATCAATAAAAAAGACAAGTTTGAACGAGTCCTTTATACTGTTTAAACTTGAATTAATTTTGATTTGGTTACTTATTCTCTGAAGAAGTGACTTACATTGAGTTACGAAACGTTAGAAACTAGTTTTTCTACTCATTAGAGTATTACAAATATATTAATTTGATGTTTTTACATATATGTTATGTTTAATCAGTAGTATATTTCGACTATTTATATATATACAGAATGAGAAAAAAAGAAAATTTTCTTTTCGATGAAGTCATTTACTTAAGCTGTACATTCGTATATATATAGTTCTCTGGAAGATATATATTTATAGAAGGATAGGAAAGATTGCATCACCAAAAATGGATTCGAGAATACATAACAAATGAGGTCATGTACACATCGCTCCAAAGAACTCTTCTTTTAAAGTAATCTATATAGTCAAAGGAACTGGATCGAAGGGAGTTCTAATCAATATTTTATGCACTGCTGAGGTATCGGCAATCCATGAAGTCAAGCCTGAATTTTGCGTGCACAAACAATTTGTCCAACCTCTCATCCTTCTCTGGCCCTAATTCCTTTGATGGGTATGTTTCTGGGTTGTTTCTTTTTCTGCACCTTTATTTGATTATTATTGAATTTTTTAAATTACTGTTTTACATTTTAAACTCTAATCAGTCATTATTATTCCCTTAAACAAGTTTTCTTGATTATTATTCAGTCTATTTTGGTGGAGTTTAGTTCTCTGAGCTGGATGGTTTGGTCGTGGAGCTTTCATCGTTCTTCTGAACGACATCATCAGCACAAACTTCAGATAGATGATGATGTCGTTCAGAAGAACGATAAAAGCTCCACGACCAAACCATCCAGCTCAGAGAACAAAACTCCATTAAAATCATCCACGTGAGCTACAAATCTTCTCCACCATTCAGTCTATTATTATGACCTTTTTGTGTTTGCCACTTTTCTTCATATTTGTCAATTGGACTATAATCTGACCCATAAATTATTTTCATCCTTACCCCTTGATTAGTATACACCTCATTTGTTATTTACTCTCGAATCCAATTTTTGATGATGCAATCTTTTCTATCCTTCAATAGACATATATTTTCCATATATAACTATAGATACGAATGTACAGCTTAAGTAAATGATTTCTCTTTTTCGTATTCAATGTCATTACGGTTTATTTTTAATGATATACACAATGATCTAGTTTATGATCAATAACCTAATTGAAGTTGATTTTGATAGAAATCTACCATTGAAACTTAATACGAACATTTCTAAATCTACAATTTATAAAATAAAAAAAAAAAAACTGGATTAAAATTATTTCGACTGATCTGATTCATAATACACTTAGTAATTAAAATTTATTAATTACAATATTCTATATGATAAATTTCTACAATTTTATTTATTGTTTAGTCAATTGAAGCTGAATCACCATAGAAAACCTGGAAGCACTGGACGCCGTTTCGTCCTAACACGGGACTCCTCAACAGTGTGCATCCACGATCCCGCCCCCCGCGAGACTCGAACCCAGGACTTATCGATCTCACACGCGAACGCATAATTACTAGACCACCATGGTGGTCTAGCTTCAATTGACTCATGATTGCAACTTGTGAAATTTCCAAAATCTCCACAAAACCCCTTCTTATAATAATCATCTGCTCACTAGTGACTGACTTCCAGAAGCATTTCCTGGAGATCTAGTGAGAAGCCGTTACCAGTGGATTTCAACCAAGTCTATTATGAAATATCAACTTACTGAAGATAATGGTGTACGGTGGTGCAATTTTGTGGAATAGACGAAGTTAGATATTAACACCGTTAGATGCCGGCTAAATGGTCTAGAAGTTAAACGTTCGCTCTCGAGACTGATAAGTCCCAGCTTCGAATCCCAATAGGCAGGACTGTGGATACGCACTGCTAAGGAATCCCATACTAGGACGAAACGGCCATCCAGTGCTTCCAGTTTTTTTCATAATGATCTAGCTTCAACTGTTTCATGATTTCAACTGTTGAAATTCTATTTATACTTTTGTCTTTCTTTTTCTATTTTTCAAAAAAAAAATATTTTCTTTACTTACTTTGATTGTTTAATTCCATAGAAATTTATAAAATCTTGTGAATTTCCTTTAATTTTTATATTTTCATTAGAATCTATATTAGATACATTTATAATATGCGGTAAATGACTTAATGATAATAAATTATCTTTAGATGAAATGAATTCTATAGAAGTTTCACAACATTCATCATGTCGATGATGATGGCGGTGTTGTTGTTGTTGCTGCTGCTGCTGCTGAGGATGATTGTCAATGCTTAATGTTGGAGGATGTGAAAAGCGTATATCTTTTCGAACATTATTATGATTATGATTATGATTATTAATATAATATTTAACATATTGATTCCGATGTGATCTAATACGTGCACGATTTAATATTTCAATTTCTGGTAAATCACATATAATTAATTTAATTATATTAGAAAATTTTAATTTATTAATTAAAGTTAATAAATATGTTGAAAATTGTATATCATATATTAATGGAAAATATAAATTATAAAATGGTCCTGATATATTTAATTTTTGTAAACACCATATCGATTTTTTACTTTGTATATAACGAATTAATTCTGGTAAATGATATGAACCAATTTGTAATAAAATTTGTTTATTGATTTGTTGATTTAAATTAAAATCAATATTATTTTTTTGTAAATTTATAATATATGGAAATGGATTTATATTAAATGGTGATAAATAAGATGAATAAGATAATAATGATAATGAATTAGATGATGAATAAAGAATATTATAATTATCATTAGGATTTAAACATGATAAACTTAATCCAATTTCTGATATGGACCAATTATTATTATTATTATTATTATTTATGATAATTGAATGTTTATTATTATTGGTAGTATTATTGATTAATTGTTGATTTATTGATTTCTTTGATTCTCCTTGTAATTGATTATCATGATTAGTTTTATCAATATGATGAATAAGAGATTTTTCATTATTATTTATATCATGATCATTGTGATGAATTGAATTATTTCTAATTTTCATTACAACTTGACTACACTGAAGAAGAAAAAAAAGGAGAAAAAGGACAAAGAAAATTAGAAGAAATTGTAAGTTGATCAATGAATAATTCTACCGGTGTAATCAGTTTAATTAATACAGTCATGTTAGTATCAGAAGGGGTTTTGTGAAGATTGTAGTAATTTCAATAGTTGAAATCATGAGTCAATTGAAGTTAGCCCAGCATGAAAAACTTGGAAGTACTGGATTGCCATTTCGTTCTATTGTGAGACTCCTCAGCAGTGCGCATCCACAATCTCACCCCGCGACATTCGAACCCAGGACCTATCAGTTTCGCGCCAGGCGCTTAACCAACTAGACTACTGAGTTGTTATCCAACGGTGTCAATGTCTAGCCTAAACTAATTCACGAAATTGAGCGACACATCCACTATTGTCATCAGTGAGTTGCTACTTCACAACTGGCTCGGTTGAACTCTACTGGTCACTGCTTCTCACTAGAACTCCAGGATATATCTCTTGAAGTCAGTCGCTAGTGAGCATATGTTGATTAGTATTAGAAAGGGTTTGTTGTGGAGATTGTAGTAATTTCAATGGTTGAAATCATGCGTCAATTGAAGTTAGTTCAGAATGTAAAACCTGGAAGTACTGGATCGCCATTTCGTTCTATTGTGGGACTCATTAGTAGTGCGCATCCACAATCTCGCTTCATGGAATTCGAATCCATGATCTATCAGTCTTGGGCATGAGCGTTTAACCACTAGATCATGGTGGTCTAGCTTCAATTGACTCATGATTTCTACTATTGAAATTACAATCATATTACTTGTTATTCATTAGTACTAGAGATATATTGTATGTATTCTATTGGTATTACCAGTTTAATTAATACACAGCAAAATATCAAAGTTTTATCAATCATCATCCATTCTAATGTCATAGTTATGTTTATATATATATATATATATATATATATATATATATATATATATATATATATATATATATATATATATATATATATATATATATATATATATATATATATATATATATGTCATGTATCCATTATCGTCATAGTTTGTATACTTATGTGTATATGTAGTGTATTAGCTTTTGTGTGACTTCTAATAATTTAATGACCGGAAATGTGCTGGTTTCTCTATAGTCAGAAAAGAGTAAACTGTGATGAGTTGATATAAGAGGATACACATTGAGTATACATGAAGTGATGTTGTTACTGTGAGTTAGATAACATAGCTTGTAAAGGATAAATTTACTTAAATGAGAGTATTCTTAGGAATTGGTTACTAGAAGATTAATCTTGTACAATCAACAGTTTTTATATAAATATATATATGTCAAAATCATACAAAAGTAGATTACAACAAACAACAAGGTAGGAATGAAAATCATAGGTTTGAAGCTTATTTAAGTAATCAATTTCTTGGAAAGTATATTTTGACTTTTCAAATACATATATATTTACCAATGCGCTAATGATATTTCCTGTAATTTGTATCTTGGATATAAATAACTAAAGTGAGGATGATAGCATTTAGACAATAAAGTTAATTTACTACAGTTTATATTATTCTCTGTATTGATTATCAAGATAAAAGAAATAAAACTTTTCACTGAGTATTAATGTACTCATAAATTAAGAAATGACTTATCGATTAGAGAACAGAAGACTGAGTGGAAGATTATATACTAGTATTGTAGTGAACAGAACACGAGTGGGGACAATCGAACGTACTTAACACAAAATTACAGGACTTGTTAATAAAATCTAACAATCAAATAGTTAATACGTAATTTGCAAAATATCCATCAATTGTCTCATAATGACTCAAACTTCATTGTTCTTTCATTTTCATACAAATTGCATCCTGTTTTCATTTTTTACTGTTCGATCCTCTTGTCTCTCTGCTGCCGGACATTCTGTTCACGACTAATATCATATACTAGTTATGTCAATATAAGTAGCGCACACCATAGTATTATTTATACTATACTTTTAAATACTTACAAACTTTCAACATTTATATATTGATATTAGATACGTTTGTGAATTCCTCAATAAGTCAACATGGTTATTAATGCCCAAGCAGAAGGTTTATTTCAGTTAAGCAATTTGAGTCACTAGTCTGTGAGTAGCTTTTTTTGTAGAATGTATGATTTAACCTGAATTTACATTTCGTGCAAATTGTTACTTGTTGGAAAGGTGGATGAGGAATTATTAGGAAACTGGTATTCACCAGTGGGACACAAACGTCTGTCATTCAATACCAAAGGTATTACTGTTGAGTCTCATTTGATTTTTGATGAAACTAATTGATCATTAGGTAATTGCTAACATCGTATTTGCTTAGTCCATAGTGATAATTGAATTATATCTAGAAAGACTAATTGTATTCACCGCTTGAATTGTAGAGCGAAGACTTCAAGCAGCACATTGACGAGGATTATTCCACAAGTTGGTGGATAACAGAAACAGATTATGATTAGAGAAAAGCTACAAAACATGGTTCTTCTTATCTGATCTGCAAACCTCTAGTACCGATTGGGCAACATAGTAACCCTCCATTATCCTTAGTTTGATGTGTTTTTTAAACGCAATTATGTAAACCCTTCGTACCCATTAACCTGCCTCCAAATGCCTTGGTACGGCCGAGAGTGGGTAGAGTCCGTTCTCCCTCTCGAAATTCTCTCACATGGCGACGCGTATATAGCCTCTGACAGGGAAGTCTTACTCACTGACCTCCAGTAGCGGGGGTGTTGTTTACGAAATTGAGAGGACAAAAAGCGGATGTCCGATGCTTTAACCGGTTTGGTGGACACGGAGAGTCCACCTAGGGGAGTTGGGAAACCCTGATTCCAAACCAATGGTGCACATGGGCTCCAGTACTTTGAGGGAACAGATGGCGTATGAACTGATCGTTGGTCACTGGCTACCATGGGACTGCATCTCCTTACGTTGCTCCACTGCCTTGTGGATCAGACCTTTAGGTCGAAGGCTCCGGATATGGTCCCCTAAGACAACTACCTGCTTCGATTTGGGCACTCGAGCAGTATCACAGCTCTCACACAAATCAAATGCGATTTGTGTGGCGCATATGTATCTGGTACCCTCTTGTACTAGTATTTATGTGTTCAAATAAATAGATTAATACCCATTAATTTGGTATAAGTTCCGAACATCCGCATAGGTTGCTTTACGTCTTAAAACTGCCGTATCACATAAAGAAAGTCAACTGAGTTTCTTAGGTAGAGCCCCATTACCGTATGATCATCTGAAAAATATCTTAGTACAAAGAGTGAGTTCTTCTCCATATCAACTGTTGTAAAGTATTTAAGAAATAATATTTCTATTTAAAACATCATGACTAATAAAATCCCAGGATTTTGTTAGTGAACTATATTAAAGTTTGAGAAAATTGTTTTTTTTTCCTTTATTTTTGTTGCTGGCTTTGTACAACAGTTTCAGTTTTGTATTTATATAAATTGTTTTTACCATAAAATAACATCATTAACATTGTAGATAATATTTATTTAATCTAAAACTTTATCTCATAAAATTTATAACCGTTTTTTTTTCTGGGTTTCTTAAAACTATTCATACATGTATACATTGGTTAGTTACAAAAATTGACAGTTGACTTTCCTTTATTTTTAAACAAGGAATGCTTGAATTTTTGGTTACTATAACAGAAATTGAACAATTGAAGAATAAGTAGTAGACAAAGTTTTAAAATATAAAAAAACTGTATGAAAATAGATGAGTTTGACAAAAGATATAAAAAAACTTTAAGTGTCAAATGTAACTAGTATCTAAATGAAATAGACTAGATGATATTTTATGATAGTTTATATTAGTCATGGATCAAAATATCCAGCTTAGAGAACAAAACTTCATTAAAATCATCTATCTGAGCTACAAATCTTCTCCACTATGATAGCCTATTATTTGAATTTTATATTTATTATATAGGAATGTGTATTTTTGAGACGAACAATTTAAAATATCACTTATTATTAACTTAAATGGCAATAAAATTAATAATAGTTGTGATGAGACATTATAGTTGTGTATATAATATCATAAAATATTAGTATGAGTTGTGTAGGTAAATGTGAGATTTGTATCCAAGGTTATTGAATTGATATACATTATGAATTTGAAGATTTAAATGATATAATTCAGGGTCTAATGAAATGGAACTGTCAGGTCTCGATAAACATAATGAATGGTAACTTTGGGATCCACTTATGGACCAATACTTTACGTATATTTTTATCCTATAATTGTTAATTAACTAAATTATTCATATACATGTCTCTCTTATCATAAGCTTTATTTTAACTTATGAACTGTTATTATACGATTTTCCATTCTTGAATTATTCCCTGCCTATTATTCACCACCTCCCACATTCACAGCCACATTTGGCCAAATCTTGTACAAATGTTTTTTTTCATATTTCATGGTACGATGTAGTCTGTTTGATTGGTATATAAACTCCGTTTCATCTTACTGTGGGACTCCTCAGCAGCGAGCATTCACAATCCCGCCTATTGGGATTCGAACCCAGGACCTATCAGTCTCGTTGGAAGCCAGCTCAGTGGTCTGGTGGTTAAACATTCATGTGCGAGACCGATAGGTCCTAGGTTCTAATCTCGCGAGGCGGTTTCGTGGATGCGCATAATAGAACGAATCGGCCGTCTAGCGCTTCCAGGTTTTCCATGGTGGTCTAACTTCAATCGACTCATGATCTCAACTATTAAAATTACTATAAAATCCACAAAACCCTTTCAAATAAATTTATGTTATATCCTAATAAGTAGAGAAATTGCATTTCTCATGTTTTGTTACTTAATGTAAGCCACTTCTTCAGAGTGAATTGACTTAATAAAATATGTGACAGTTTTATACAACATTACAATTGAATATTGATAAATTTTCAATTTCAGGTTGCATGGAATCAAGTAAAAGATTTTGATATTTATTTATTTAATTCAACTTTATTATGCGGGTTA